TTTATTTCTTTCATTTCATTTGAGGATCAGTGCAAGCTAAAATTTTAAAATTAGTTACTTAGTTTAATTTCCAATTATAATTGTGTCGTTATAGTAGAGGACCATCGAATTGTCCTAAGTTCAAAGTTTTGCGATACATACGACAAATGTTTTATGATTAAAAAAAGATTACATTTGTATGGGAATTTTTCGTATGTGCCACATACGACAAATGTTTTATGATTTACAAAAAAGTACGTTTGTATGGGAATTTGTCGTATCCCAACGGAGCCAGAAGCGCTCCATTAGTTCTATTGGAGCGCTCCATATTCAGCAGTAAGCGCTCCCTTCCTAATTTCACACTTCATTGTATTTTAACATTGTGTGTCATTAGCAGGGAACGGATTTTATGGAAATAGCCTTTTTTTCTGCTAAAGAGACAGAGTATATTCGATTAAGAATGTCCACGATTTAGCTTTCCCTGATTCCATATATACACGTTTGATGTTGCCTTTTTTTTGCCTTTTTAAAGATATTTGCCTTTTTTAATATATTTGCTTTTTTTGCCTTTTGTACCTTTAAGAAAGTGATTATAGCATTTACAATTTTTTTTTTAAGATAAAAAAATATCCACATGCCCATGCGGCTTATAGAAGCGCAGGGACCTCTTGCCAAATTGGTGTTGAAAAAATTCAAAGCCGTTTTCTCAGCTAACGTAGGCTTGGAGACAATAAGGGGTGTGGATAAAATTGTAAAGGGCGAGGAAAACGCCCTTATTCCTGATAATATGAACGTTTCAAACGTTCCATATTTAAATTGGGCTTCACTTGTATCAACTTACGTCGAGCGCACATTTAGTACATTCAAGGCTTTTCTTCGCGAAAATCGTATGAAAATGCCGCCAGAAAACTTCAAAAGGCATCTTGTGGTTCAATGTTACTATAACTATACAGATTAAAGTTTTGTGAGTTAGAAATTCGAAAGGATAAAATAGTCAAAGTTTCAAAGTACAAATTTTTTATATAATGAAACTAGTTCATAGTTTTTCTCTTTTTACTTGTAATATAAACATTTCTAAAATAAATATATTTTTTGATTGTTCTTCGTATTTTCTGTCTTTTTAGTGCCTTATTTTGCTTTTTTGCAATATCTAGTGCCTTTTCCTGCCTTTTTCGCTATTTTGTTTTGCCTTTTTTGCAATACCTAGTGCCCTTTCGCTATTTTATTTTGCCTTTTCCTGCCTATTTCGTTATTTTATTTTGCCTTTTTTATAGGTTTTTAGGTTCTAAAAATCCGTTCCCTGGTCATTAGAAATTGCATTTAAAAAACGATGCATTCAAATTTTACTTTTTACATTATATTTTTGTTTTAATAAAATAATTGCGTTTTTGTAAACCATTTGATGGTTATATTAAGTGTACTTACATATAAACATGGTTTTTTCTTTTCTGTGTGGTGTACATACGAAAATACATACATATGTACATACATGTTAACATTTAATGACATTCGTTGTTGTTGTTAACCATTTGACTTTTAATAAAATTATGACATTTCATCAAATTCATGCTACCTGATCACTAGAAGAAATATTTTTTTTAAAGCAGAAGATTTTATCAGCACATTCAAAGATGTGGAAAATGATGGACTTTAAAATTATGCCGCCTACATGATTTAGAAAATGGGGTTGATGACTAGGTTTCAGAACGCATGAAGAAAGTGATCAAAATTATACTTACATTTAAAGTACAAAACCGCGTATCGTCGTTCTGAAAAACCGCGTAACTGACATATACTAAGCAGATATGCGATTGCTTTATTAAAAAGAGAACCATTTTGGAAGATGCGTGTTTTTACACTCTAGAAAATAATTTCTACAACTTCACATACGCGGTTTTGCATTTTGCTGATACGCGGTTTTATACTTTATACGACGATATGTTAATTGTTTATTGGAGGGCAGTCCGTTCAAGCGGCCTTCAGGTTTTTTGCATACAATAGAAACTTTATGTTCAAAATTTGTGAAAGCTAATTTGTTGCAAAATCTGATGAGAAATTTAAAAGTAAATTTGAACCAATATATTAAAAGTTTTTATTTGTGAAGAACATTCTTTAAAATTAGATTTTTAGATCGCAAGATTGCATTCAAAATTAAAAAACGAAAAAATAACAGCTAATGCGCGCGTGGTTTTTATTATAAAATAAAAAGAACAATTACGATGAAGGCTTCTTTAATAGTCTATATTTTATATATTTTTAATAAAAATAGTGCGAGCTACGTAAGTAAAAAAAGTACCAAGCACTGATAATGGTTTTTGATTTTAAATATTATTACATTGGTATAAATATGGGAAGGAAAACACTCCGACTTATTGTTTTAATATTATCAAAGTGGCAAGGCCGATGATAATACTCACAATTTATGAAACTTCAAAAAATTTTATTATCCGTCAAAAGTTGTTTATTGAAACTACCTTCTTTTTTGTATCATGGTTAATACATAAATTAATTTTTTTTCAAAAGAAAATATTTTATGTTACTACTCAAAATGATATTTATTTCTGAGCATTGTTAGAAATTTAAAAATTTTTATTTTACTTTGCTTTTGTGCTGCTCCATACTTGCTCTTTGGGGAGCAGCTAATTTTCAGTCCCGTTGGGATGTGACGCATTTTCAGCACATACAACAAAAGGCATACCCAATCATTAATATTATGTAACATACGACAAAATGCGCATGAAATATCTCAAAAACTAAGGGAGATATAAAAAAATGGATTACAGAAATCAAAAAAGCATGTCAAAATCCCAAAATCGTGATTTTGCACATTCGTCATCCGTTTTCTGAGGCGACGATATTTACCAAAAAACGAAAAAGCTACTGACCTTGGATATACAACAAAATCATACTGAATATCTCGGAGAATAGGCGAGATATCGACAAAGCGATAACACTAATAGAAAGAGCTTATTTTAAAAAATATAACTGCATCTATAACTCAAAATACCGTCAGATGGCAAAATTTTACGCAGGCGACGATATCTACTCCTTAGAAATAAATATTCGTAAGTGAAGGCTTTTTTTTCTTGTATATTTTTATTTTTTTTTTTATTAGCTCGGGATGTAACTATGTAATATTGATGCGCCTAAAAGATGCAGCAATTTCTATTCTCAAGTTACATACCTGATGACAGTACGAATGGAAATTATAATAGCGAGGTTTTAGTTTTTTAAACAACAATTTTTGTTCTTCGAATTATTCCTGTTAAAGCTCATTCTTCAATACATTTTTTAACGAAGTTACAGAGATAGTAACAGACATTTCTTTCGAAATTATATTTTTTTATACGTTTTTAAGTAGCTTACACTAAAACGTATTATCCACCGATTTAATGGAGTAAATAATGATTATTTATTAGAAAAACTGATTTTTAACTCTTAATTCCCACTCACCTGGATATTGATTTTCCACAACAATTGAATGCGCAAGACGCTTTGCCAATTTTTTAAACAGGTAACGATTGGCTATCAAACCGTCATGCATCGGTTTCATCAAATGCTTCACCATCCACGGTGAGATGCGACGTATACAACTGCAGATAAGTACTTCATCTAATTCGATTGATGGACTGCAAGTGGAAAATTCATCATCGCTATCCTCACCGAATAGCATATCGAATTTCCATTTGATCAGTTCATGCCAGCGAAAATCTTCTTCAATTAAACGACTTAATGAAGTCGTAAGCCGCCGACGTTGCATAAACAATTCGCATGGCCATAGGCTGTGCCGCAAGTTTTTAACTGGTCGTTCACTATGACTCGAGGATGGACGGTAATGTGGCAAACTAGTTTGATCATGAAATTCTACAAAAGGTGATGCAGAAATATGCAGCGCACCATTTAATTTTATAGGCGATGTCTGCCGTTGTTGTTTCTCTGGCGAACAGCCCATGTGTTGGCCAGCACTGCATGCAGTACTAAGTTTCAGTTCGCGTGATAGTGGTGCCTTCTCAATCTCTTCGAGTACGCTCCGTACTTGTGGATCGTCTATTTCTGAGTTTGTATTAAGGCCAAGCAGCTCCTCCAATTCAGATTTCTCTTCGCTGAAAAGCTGCGCGAGTTCCTTAGCAATTTCATCATCCTGCTCCAGTAAGTCGTCGTCAACTGCACTTTGTGGTACGGTGGGGCAATTAACTGCGGGTATAGTGTTGTGCGTCGTTTCGGCACTTTCGCAACTAGGCGGTGGCATTGCTTCCGAATCAGTATTTTCTCTGACGGCATCGTGCTTCATTGAAACTGTTGTTACATTTGAAGCAGGCTTGGTTCTTCCATCGTTTTCATATAGCTCTATGCATCGTGAAACTTTACTGCTATTGTTCGAACTACGTCTACTATGCTTTTGGTGATGCCGCACATGTAGCCTATGATTTGAGGGATTATGTGTGGAGTGGCGTGAGGCTCTTTTGTAACATTCTTTATGTGTCGCAGCTACTTTCAACGCTGCTTCTTGATTGAGACGCTCTTGAAACATTTCAATCTTCTGCTGCAGCGATAAACTGATGTCATTATCAGTCACTGGTCCTCTGGAAGATTCATTAGAGCAGAGCAGGCTTTCATCCGTTTGTGTTGCTTTTTGTCGATGCGCAACTTCGGTCGAGATCGTAGGATCTTCACCAGTAGCAATTAGTTTTCTTAATTGGCCTTCTAAACGAAATTCTTGTGTACTGCGTCTCACTTCTGCAATCTGAAAGAAGTAGTCAATTACTATTGATTTCCAACCATTTATGCCAACCATATTCCCCTTACTATCTTTAACATACTGCGCTGGTAGCGTCGGGCATGCATACACGCCTTCAAAGCCTTATCCTCAAGCACGCGACAGCATTCCTTCAGTGCAGTTTGCTCTTTGAGTTGCAGGTCGGTGGCTGCTTCTGGCTCAGGCTGCGATTTATTTTCGCGCCAAGTCTGAACATTCTCCAGTAGCTGCTTTTCAAGGTAACCACAGTAGTGTCTTCGAACCTTAAAAATTTCTGTGAATTTCTTTCATGCCTGCTTACTTAGGTGTACTACTTACCATGTCAGTTAGACGCACAAATACTTCCGCAGTAGTGTTCTCGTCCTCGTTACTTTGTTCTTCATATTTATTTTCAATATCGCTGTCATTTTGGTTGTTGGCCGAGCCATATTCACGGGCAGAGTTCATATGATTGACGGCCTGAGATTCCACACAAATCATCTTTTACCAGGTAAATTAAAGCGGAGTCAGCGAATTTCTAAAATTTTAATTCTGTTTACTTCGGTTGCCTTTGCGAAGTACGCGTTCGACATGCAACTCGATACAGCAGTTTTTGTTTTGACAACGAAAAGAGGGACATAAAGCAACTAGAATAAAGGAAGTAAACAAACACATCATTTTGAGATAGGAAACCGGCTGGCTTCCTGTAGAACTATTCTGTTTTTAAAACTGTAACGCATAAACTTCAAACTGTAATTTCGTATGTACTTTGCACGTATTTTGTTTGTATTCCATTACCCAGAAATTAGCAGAACTTTTAAAAACTTAGCAATTTGTGGAGTGTAGATTTTGCTTCACATTTTCTTAAGTTACATTTTTATTGCACTGGTACAAATGGTTGTGCGAAGTTATGCGAAGTATGCATAATAAGACCTTTAGTTAAAATATGTAAAATTACGGTGCCCAGATTTCTGTGGGCAAAAGTCGGGGCATTTCTAAATCATCGAATCCGAACATACAACTGTGTTTTTAGAATAAAAAGACATAACATATTTTAATACATTTTTGTTTAAAACAAAACAATGGGAAAACACATTTTAATATTATCGCAAAAATCTTTACCCACAATATAAAAAGGAAAAAGACATTTTAGCAAGTTTTGGTAACTTTTCTTTGTTTAAGAAATCTTTATTTTTTATGAAAAAATAACTTACTATCTAAAAAGTCATGTAAGTCAAAATTTAAAACTTTGTAGAACATTTATAAAAATTCTAAGAATTTTAACCAATGTTGATTAAAATGTTAACCATTTGAATCTGAATTTCTAGAATTGTCTTGATTATGCAGTTTTGTGGCCCATTAAATTTTTGTACGATTGTGCGGTTAAAAGCCGAAAGGAAGCGGTTATTCGATTAAGTGAAGTCGAATATTTTTTTAAACAACACCCGATTTATAGATGATTCAAGTACATGAGCGGAAGACACAAGATCACGCGGGAAGGAAAGAAAGAAAAAAGTAAATTTCTAGCTGCTGAAATCTCGACGCCATCTTTGTTGTAAGAAGTTAACAACGAAGAGAACGAAGAAAACCGCGAATTTGTTGAACGCATGAATAATAATTTTTGTTATGCAAATTCTTCTAAAAATCATGTCGTTGTGTTAAATTATTCTTTACCTTATATGTACACACGTTGTCACACCCGAAAATGAAGAAAATTGTAGTAAAAAGCCACCACCAAATTGTAAACAACGAAGAAATGTAAACAAACCGCCAATGTTAAAATCAAACTTTTTTTCTAACTCCGAAATGGCTTGTTAAAGATGATAAAATATCATGATTCAATAATACAAGGTTAGATAATTATTGACAGCTGCGGTTTGACACTCCCTTACAAAAGGTTGCATTTACGAAGGACGGAGAAAAGGGGAGGAATGAAATCTCTTGGTGCGAAAATGGTAGTAGAAAAGTACGCAAAGTAGGCAAATAGTAGTGTAATTCCATTTGTAAATTCTAATGTACTTGCAGGAAATCTGGCATTTTAACCCTCCGATGAGTGACAGTGCCGATGACGTTAGATTCGTGAGAAGGTCCTTAGGGACCTACAAAGAGTTGCTCGATGTTTCGACTGTACATGTGCAACTTCTTTGGTATTTATGTTGTCTTTTGATTAAATTAACGTCCTGCATATATATTAGGAATGAAATAATTTGAAGAACAAGTGAAAAAAAAATCAAAACATGAAGACAAGTAACTTGTTATTTCTTCTAAAATTGTACAAGGTCCCTAGGGAC